TCTCCTGACCTGCATGGCAGTGGGTGAGAGAGCAATTTCCTCAGCAATGCAAATGCACAGGTCACTTGCGGCCCAGCACCAGCACCAGCACCAAGAGTCTACACCGCAGAAGAAGGAAGGGAGTCAGTCTGGGCTTGCCCTTAAATAAAACACATAGAGTGACAAAGAAAAAAGAAGAAGGAGACTTCTCTGGCTGGACTCCACAGTGGTGTGCTCTCCAGGAGCCTAGAGACCCTCTTCCTCCCAGTTGCCCTGTGGAAAATACAGGGCAAGGACTGGTACAGAGGGCAAAGGGCATCCTTGGCGCATTGTGGCTGGGAGTCGCTTGGGCCTAACTCCTACCCTGGCCTAGATCAGAAGTGCTGGCTTGGCTTTCTGAGCCCTGGTTTGCAAAGCCAGGCAGATGGGAAAGGAGACACAAGCTTTCCATCTCACAGGGAAGGACCCTGGAGACCACACAGATGTGCTGGACCTCAATGGCCTGGGGTTCTGCTTTCCCCTGGCCCTGTCCTGGGTGGACACTAGAGACTGAGACAAAACCTAGGGAAAATATGAATTCCAGACATAGAAGTAAGGCACCCAGAATCTGGGGGGTGGGTTGTTTGTTTGTTTTTTGTTTTTTGTTCTTTGTTTTCTGTTTTGTTCTTTGAGACAAGGTCTCACTATGTAGTTCAGGCTGGCCTTGAACTCACTCTGTAGCCCAGACTGACCTCAAACTCATGGTGATCCTCCTGCCTCAGCCTCCTAGTACTAGTATCACAAGCATGTACCACCATGCCTGGCACATTTAAAGCATTTAAAAAGAAGTCTGAACTCATCACCTTGTCCACAGATGTTTTTCGGCACTTGTAGTCCTAGAGAGGTTCAGTAAACAAGCATTGATGGGAAGGAGCTGGGCTGCAAGCAGCCTGCTTGGAAGAGGATGGCAGAACAGGGAGCCTTTCAGAACTTCTCAGGGAATGGGCAGGAGGAGAACTGAGCCTCCAACTCCCATCTCTGCTCAGGGCTTCTCCCCGCTGCATGCCCTCCTGAAAAGTGTAGGGCAGACTGCCCTGGCCTGGAGGCCAGAGCTCAGTTCCTGACCCAGGTCCTCTTCCCAAGCACCCCGCCCATCTATAGGACTCCCAGATGAGAATGAGAGCCAGGCTCTGCTCCTGGGTGGGTCTCTTATGCCTTGCCTGAGCACAAGGCCACCTCTGGTCACCAGCAAGTCTATACATGGATTTGCCCAAAACCATCTCACCACTGGAAACAGAACTTAGGGCTGCTGGGCTAGGGGGTACTTTTCTGTTTATTTATGCACTTTTTCACTTTAGTATTTTTAATATTAGTATCCTACACATTTATTGGAAACCTAAATTGGAAGAAAGATGGATATATTAAAAGGGTAGAAAAAAAGTTTGAAAAACCTAAGTTCAATGGTCATGAAATGGGACCTGTATTTGATTTTTTTTGTTACATCTGTGCTTTACAAGTCATATTCATTGTACTTTTGGGAATATGAAAGAACACTCCACTAAGTTTCTGCTTTCTGAGTTGTTATAAAATCCATAATAAACCATTTCATGAATGTCTGGAAAAAAATGAAAGGACAGAAAAAAAATCTTCTGTCATGATACTCTTGAGCCGTCATTATGATTTATCACTTTGTCCTATTTTAATTTGTCCCTTTTGCCCTTTTTTCCCCTCATGGCCTAGCTGGTGCCTGTGGATGCAAGGGACATTTGTTAGCTGCAGGCTGCAGGGGCTCCTGGCCCCTCGGCCTCCCAGCTGCTGCCTGTCATCTGAGGACTTGTCAGACTCACTGCATGCGCAGGCCCAGGGAAAATTTGGAGCAAAATTCCCCCCGCATGCATGTGAGAGCTTAGCAGATTTTCAGAGGTGGCAAAAGACAGATCCAGTAGGTAGGGATGTGGAATGCTCTTTTTAGGAAATGAGAATATTATATTCCCTTTTAAAAAATGTATTTGGTACAGAGTTTCACTACACAGCTCGGACTTGCAGTGATCCTCCTGTTCTCAGCCTCTCCAGTGCTGGGATTAAGGCCAGCTCCACCATGCTAGATGTTGGTGGCTGGCTCAGCATGCCTGGTGGCAGAGCCTATGCAGCATTGGTACCGGGGATTGAACCACAGTCCCTGCACTTGCCTAAGCAGGCGCTCAGTCTGCTGAGCTATCTCATAGCCCTTGTTCTTTCTATGTCTCAGTGCTAGGGATTGCTTTCCTTGCCAGTATCCCCTATACAATACTAAGGAACAAGTGTAATGATTCTCCAAGATTTGCTGGAGACTCTGCCCTGTCTTCCTTCAGTGACCTGACAAGCACACAAAGCACTTTTTGGTTCATATTATTACAAACACAGAACTCCTGGGAATGGTTATTTTTCTTTTCATCCGGCAAATATATTTGTATATTCCCGGTTTGGTTTGCTTTGGTTTATAAGGACTCATTCCTTCCCACACAATACTATCAAAAAGAAACACTTCCATGCCTAATTTAGGTATTGGAATTTATGAAATACCTATAAATATAACCCATTATGAAAGCATAAGAGATATAGAACATTAATAAAACAATATACCAAACACTAATAGAGATAGTTATATCTTTTTAGAGAACTATCAGAAAAGTCAGGCAATTTTTTAATTTGACACATTTCTAGTGAAATAACACAATTCTAATTTCTGTACATTGTTAACACAACAGTAATATCAAAGGCAGGTTTTAGCTACCAACTAGTAGAATTGCTAAGGCAATTCTGCCAGAGTGAGCTGAAGCTTCTTTCAGTCCTGAAATATTGTGAGTCACTTATGGAGTCTGATGGTAGCAGAAACAGACCACCAAGTCTCTCTCATAATACTTCCTTGAGGTCTCAAGGAAGAGACTTCCTTGTGACAGGGGTTTTGATTTAGTATTTGCACTGGTGTTGGTGATGTACATCCATAATCCTAGCAATTGGGGGGCTGAGACAGGAGGATCACCTCAAATTCGAGGCCAGGCTAGGTTTTGTAGTGAGTTCAAGGCCAGCCAGAACTACATAGTGAGACCCTGTATCAAAAAGAAAGAAAGAAAGAAAGAAAAAGAAAAAAGAAAAAAAAAAAAAGCAGCTGGGCATGCTGGCACATGCCTGTAATCCCAGTGCTTGGGAGGCTGAGGCAGGAGGATTATTGCAAATTTGATACCTGCATGGGTTACAAAGTGAGCTCAAAGCCAGCCTGAACTGCATGGTGAGATCCTGTCTCAAAAAGACCAAAAAAAAAAAAAAAAAAGTATTTAAGAGTTAGCTAACTCCTGTAATATTAACACCTTTCCAGGCTGCTGGCCATATGAGTTATTCAGATGCTGTGTTTGTGTCTGTGTATCTCTGTGTGTAGTTTGCTTAGATATGCCTCTGTACAACCAATATTTTCAATGTGTTCAAAATCAGTATATTAGGTATGCTTATGAATGTCCAGTATTATCAGTAAAATGCTGGGCTCCTCCAAGAGACTAGCTCATTTTTAAAAAATACATTATTTTTAGGGGCTGGGGCCATAGCTCAGTGGCTTAAGCACCTGCTTGGAAAGCACAAGGTCCTGAGTTTGATCCCCGGTCCGCAAAGAAAACCAAAACCAAAAACAAAAAACCAGTCTTAAAAATACATTATTTTCAATAAATTTGGTGCCACAGATTTGCTTTATTTAAATCTTAAGCTTTACCAAATACCCATTCTGAATGTCTAGATTTAGCAGTACCACTGCCTACAAGGCTTCAAAATTTTATCAAGCTATCAAAAGCCGGAGAGGAAGAAATAAACAGTCATGTGGCTCTTATCTGTCTTTCTATCCCACCTATAATCTCACTTACAGATGAGTTTGTTACCTCCCTTCTGTCTGAATCTGTTTAATTCTGCTCTTGTGAATATTGATTGCCTGGCAGGCTCAAGGTACTGAGTTCAATCCTGGGAACCGGAAAAAAAAAGGAATATTGACTAGGAGCATGCAGGCATTAAAAAAAAATAGGCATTTTGCTTACCCACAGAATCTCATATTATGTGAGTATATTTTGTACCTTTAAAATGTTTGGAAGTGGGTGCTCCTCTGCCTCTTGCTTACGTCCTCCTCTCTGGGTAAGGATGGCCACACAGGGTGGACACTTACATAAATAGAGAGGCTCCACACAGACTACGGACTTCCTGGAAGGAGAGTCTGGGTTAAATGCATCGAGTTGGGTTTTCGTGGATAGCTGGATGAATGAAGCAAGACTAGCTGTCATACGGAGGCTAATGCTTATGCTTCGGTGCACAGCGTGGGTGCTGGGAGTCCTTCGCAAGGTAGGTGGGGCAGCAACAGACAACTGGGGAGGGAGAGGGATCAGACCTATCAGGCACGTTGAAAGTCTTTAACATGATCTGGGTCATCTTCTTTCGGTTGGCCTGGGGGTTCAGGTTCCCCCATCCCCCCATCCCACCCCTCCACTCCGGGCGCTCCGTTTTGTCTTGGGCGCGGCCTTTTCAGGAATGCTTTCTGCTTTCCCCTCCCTCTCCTGGCACTCCTCCTAGACCTCCAGAGGGGCGCTTCTTAGCGCCACCAGCACCTTGCAGTAGGCAGAGGCCTTGCCAGCTTGGAAGAGATCTCGACTGTCTTAAAACTGGCTCATGAGGAGCTGAGCATAGCCCTTTGGGTCAGACCTCGCCTACAGCGCGGAACCTCCTGGGCGCCGCGGAGGCGTGCCCGTGACGCGCCTCTGGGCAGCACCTCGGTCAGCGCCGGGTGACCGCCCCAGCTGAGGCCACCTTCCTGGGAGCGGTGCGGGGGAGGGAGCTGCCCTACCCAGCGGCGGGTCCGGCAGGACCACCACGGCCCCCCACGCTGGGGGAGGGATTCGATCCAGAGGGGACACTGTGGGGAGGGGCGACAACTTTTGTCTTCTGAGGGTCGTACCCAGAGTGAGGCGGAAGGACGGCGCCTTGCCCCCGCCCCCTTCCTTCCCCGCCTGTAAATAAAGACGACCAACATTTAATGCGGTTTAAGAGAATGGCTGCTTTAATGCTTCAAGTTTCCACTTCCTTCCACAGGGCTTTGTTTCAAAAATAACAAAATGAGGTAAGTCGAGTCACTGTATGTACACGGCGTCATCGTCCTGAGGAGAGCGCGGCCCCGCCGCCTAGAAGCATTTGCGGTGCACGATGGAGGGCCCGGCCTCGTCGTACTCCTGCTTGGTGATCCACATCTGCTGGAAGGTGGACAGCGAGGCCAGGATGGAGCCGCCGATCCACACGGAGTACTTGCGCTCAGGGGGGGCGATGATCTGCAAGACAGCGTGTCAGGTGGCCCCACCGCCCCGCCGCCCCGCCCGCTGCCCCTGCCCCCACCCGCCCGGCCGCCGCCCACCTTGATCTTCATGGTGCTGGGAGCTAGGGCGGTGATTTCCTTCTGCATGCGGTCAGCAATCCCAGGGTACATGGTGGTGCCCCCCGACATGACGTTGTTGGCATACAGGTCCTTCCTGATGTCGATGTCGCACTTCATGATGCTGTTGTAGGTGGTCTCATGGATCCCGGCGGATTCCATGCCTGCAGGCCCGGGGGACAGCGTGAGCGGCGGAGGCCCGCGGATCAGCGGGACACCGGGCCCGGGGACTTGCGGGTGGGCGGCGGGGCGCGGGGCTTACCGATGAAGGAGGGCTGGAACAGCGTCTCCGGGCAGCGGAAGCGCTCGTTGCCGATAGTTATCACCTGCCCATCAGGCAGCTCGTAGCTCTTCTCCAGAGAGGAGGAGGAGGCGGCAGTAGCCATCTCGTTCTCGAAGTCCAGGGCCACATAGCACAGCTTCTCCTTGATGTCCCGCACAATCTCACGCTCAGCTGCAGAGGAGCAGGATGTGGATTCAACGAGGGAGGGGACCCCTGGGGCTTACTCCTGCTCAACCTACCTTGGGGCACCCAGGCCGCTCACCTGTGGTCACGAAAGAGTAGCCACGCTCAGTGAGGATTTTCATCAGGTAGTCAGTGAGGTCGCGGCCAGCCAGGTCCAGACGCATGATGGCATGTGGCAGGGCATAGCCCTCATAGATGGGCACGTTGTGGGTGACACCATCGCCAGAGTCCAGCACAATACCTGCACCAGGGCAGACAGCATGAGGCTTGGCCCAGGACTCAGGTGCAAGTTAGGGTACATGGTTGGAAAGAAGGACCAACACAGAGCTGGGCTAGGGGCACAGTGCAGGGCCAGAAGGCAGAGCCACAGGTGGGGCACAAGGCTGGGACTGGGGACACAGGTCCCACAGCCTCAGCTCCTCCTGGGTCTGGATATATGCACTCACCAGTGGTACGGCCAGAGGCATAGAGGGACAGCACAGCCTGGATGGCCACATACATAGCAGGCACGTTGAAGGTCTCAAACATGATCTGGGTCATCTTCTCACGATTGGCTTTGGGGTTCAGGGGGGCCTCAGTGAGCAGGGTTGGGTGCTCCTCAGGGGCCACACGCAGCTCATTGTAGAAGGTGTGGTGCCAGATCTTCTCCATGTCATCCCAGTTGGTGATGATGCCATGCTCAATAGGGTACTTCAGGGTCAAGATACCTCTCTTGCTCTGGGCCTCGTCACCCACGTAGGAGTCTTTCTGACCCATACCCACCATGACGCCCTGCAAGTGGAGACACCATGTGCTGATCAGCGTGGCTGTAGGCACCAGCGCTATGCTGGAACCAGCCCCTCTGCAGACCCTGCTGCCTGACCTGGTGGCGAGGGCGGCCCACGATGGAGGGGAACACAGCCCTGGGGGCGTCATCACCAGCGAAGCCGGCTTTCACCAGGCCAGAGCCATTGTCGCACACAAGAGCGGTGGTCTCATCTTCATCACACATGGTGTCGGGTTTCTGCAAGTACAGGGACACAGTGGTGACACACAGCAGTCCACAGGTGCCTCTGCCTACCTGCCAAAGGCCCTCCCTCCCCAGAGACCCAGAGTCACCTGCAGCTTGAGCTTCCTGCATCCATCAGCAAAAGGGCACAGAGAACCCTACCCAGCTCAGGGCTGTGCTGCTGAGGAGGGAGGCACAGGGTGGAGACCACACCGCCAAGTCCTCCAGCTTGGTACTGAGGGGCTGGTATCCCCAGAGGGCTCTGCCTTCACGGCAAGCCACCTGCTCACTAATCTAGCATCTGTCCTCTGCTCAAGAGGCCTCATTTGTTGAAGAGGGATTAAGACCCCAGCTGCTTTCCTGGCCAGAGTGAGCAGGTGCTGCCCATGGAAGGGCTGTGGGACATCCTGGATATTTAGGCTCAAAAGGGACTCTTTGTCTTGTCTATGATTCCAGAGAGGGGTGGTATTTTCTACTTTAGACTGCAGTGGGGAGGGAGAAGATGAAGGCCACACTGAATTCCTACCACAGCCCACATTCTGTCTCCCTGTGTGTGTCCTAAATGCCAGGTAAGATGCCCAGATGGGCTGAAAGTCAGTCTACAGACATTGGAGACAGTGCCGGACACAGGCCTGTGGCTACCCAGCGGGGCTCTGCCCAGGTCCCTGCAAGCCCACTGAAGGTCTTGCCCCGTGTTCTCCCACCTGCAGACCTACCTGGGTGGGTGGTTACACCTGCTGCTCTCTGGCTCGGCCGGTTGCCGTGGGAGGGTGGCTGTCCACTTTGGTGACCACTTGTCCCCAGCTCAGGTTTTTATATAGTCCTCAGGCACTCCCTCCACACCGCCCCGCAGGAATGTTGCTGCCCTTCACAGCCATATTTGGGTGTCGGCACAAGTGCCCTCCTTCAGCTGGTTCCTGGCCTGGGCCCTGCCTGGGTCCCCTAGGCAGACCAAAGAAGGACCGGGCTGGCCCTAGCCCAGGTAAGAGAGACCAGGCCATGTATGGAGTGTCTCCCCAGTGGGCCTGCCCCTCCCTCCCGCCTGAGGTGGGGTGGGACAAGGTTCACCCCTGTGAACCCAGCTCGGAGCTGCACCTGTTACAAAGATCTCCTCGTCCCACCCACCCTGTGCTCCCAGGTGCTGCAATGGTGCCTGACCGTGGGTCCCCTACAATTACCCCATCCCTGGGGTCCTTTCCTCAGCCTTCCACCTAGTGTGCAATTTCTGTGGGGATAGCTGGGCTGACAAGGTACAGAGGCAGTCACCCGGACACTGGCAGGGCAGGAGGGGAAAGCTTGCACCTCACTTTTCCCTCTCCATCCCAGCCCCCCAGCCAGAGTTCTGACCCCAATTGGCCCCCCCCCACCTCGGATGCCACAGGCAGCCAGAGGGCACACAGCTGTCACTGGGCAGACAACTGGTGTGGGTGTGGGGAGAAAAGAGGCTGGGGCTGAGGAGGCTCTGGCCATCAGGGTCCTCTGGGCTGTCCTCTTAGTGCTGCAGGATGCTCAGAGGGCCTGAAAGGAGTCAGGTGGGGGTCGTTTCCCCTATGAGCAACCACTGACTACCAGGTTGGCTGGGTTGTTAGCAGCCCTCCACCCTGACTACTTGGTGGTATTGTGTCCCACCTCTGGGCCTGGCTAGGCCTGGAAGTGGTGGTGGCAGTGGCTGATGGGAAGGTGAGGCAGTGTCCTTACTGAGGACCAAGACTGTGCACTCAATCAGGGCAGTGGCTCCTCCTGCGAACTCGTCTTTATATTTAGAGGATGATGCTGCAGGCCAGGCTGCTCCCAGTCCACCTTGGAATCACCACCTGCCAGGGCCTGCACGGCTTCTATTTATACCGTGGATACATGGGGATATGCCTTTTGGGCTTCTGGGGACCGGATCTCCTTATAGTAAAAGAGTGGGGTCAGTGGAGGCCATTCTGCCAGCGCCTCTCAGTTTGGGGGTAGGGTGTAGGGCAAGAAGGCCCAGAAGAACATCTTCTGTCTTCAAACTTGGTGACATGCTTTATGGGGTGCCCAGGGATGTCATTTGTTTTTCTGATGTCTTAAGTGTTCCCAAAAATAGTTGCAATTCACATTTGGTAGTGGAACTCGGCAGGAGACAGGTGTAGTTTCTCTAAAAGGAGGATATGAAGGACACTGACCCACTCTGCAGCCTACACCATCCAGCTCTCCCTGAAATGACCAAAGTAGGGTTGGTGGAGTTGAAACAGCAAGGAGAAAGAGCCAAAAGCCCCAGTGGTTTCATATTCAGCTTTCCCACTATGTTAGAGAACGAAGGACTAAGGGATCGAAGTTTCCCCTCAAGGCCCTTACCCTCCTATGTCATGGGTAGTGGAAATGTTAGAGAAAAATAAGCCAGCAAGTACAATGTCAGACTTTCATCTGGGCTGTAGAGGAAGGGAGGACAGCAGTGTCACCCACAGGGCACCTTGTGGGGATGAGGAGCAGATACTGCTCAGCACTCTTGGACAGTGCATTTCCCTGCTCTCAGACAAGTCTGTCTGAGCTTGTGGACTCATGCTCCCTAAAAGCTATGCACGAAGTGCCCGAAGCTATAGGCGGCCTCCTGGTACAAGTACTGCACATGGCAGGTGGCCAGGGGCTCAGCTGTCCCCCTCTGCCATGTGACAGATGTGCTGGCTGACAGTCCTTGGGGTCATCCAGCCCTCCCATACCACCACTCCCAAGCTGGTGAAGCACCAGCTCCACCGTATCAGTGTCAATGCAGCCTGGCTTGTACCCTACCTCGAGTGCTGCCCCCCCCCCCATACCCCTCACTTTCACAGTTTTCTGGCTTGGCCTCTCCAGTATTTCTACCAATTTAAACATGAGCTTATAAAACTCTGTGGAAGGCCTTCACATTTCAATTAAGCCTTCTCACCATCTGCAGGTGGACAGGCCAGGTTCTGCACATCCCAGCTTTCAATAGCCCGGGGCTTACTGTGCTAAGGATATATTGAGGCTAAACAGCAGTCATGGGGAGCAGGGCTCAGGCTGCCCTGCGGTACACTGGAGTGGCCAGGGCAGGGAAAGAGCTTCCGACTCTCCTGTCATCTAGTGGTTCTGGAAATACAAAGATCCTTAAGGGGCCTTCTCCAAAGGACAAAGTAAGCCATCTTGAAATGCAAAGTAATGGCTTCATGGGCAACCATGTTATCTGAGAAAGGACCACAAGAGGCTGGCTACTCTACCCATGGCCATGTGCAAGAATGGGAGTTCAGCAGAGCAGGCCCCTCACCCACCAATTTGCTTTGTGACCTCGGGCAAGTCAACTCCAGAAGGTTCTGCCTTCTCAGCTGGGTTACACTTGCCCTACAAGACTGATTCAAAGCCAGGCATAGCTTTCAGAACTCAGGAGCCTGAGGCAGAAGTGGCAATGCTTCAAGGCCAGCTGGGGCTACACAGTGAGTTCCAGGGTCCTGAACTATTGTGATACCATTTCCAAAAAATAGGAGACTGCTCTGAGATTTGAGATCAATTCTGGGTAAATGCCTGGACCTGAGGAACACTAAGGCTGAGTACTGGACATATGAGTGCAGGTCGCTGATACGTCCCAAGTAAACAGGCAAGGCTAGGACAACTTTCTATGTTTTTGGAATGTTTATTTAAAATTATTAAAAATGGTAAACCTCATTACATTCAATGATCTCCATTTTAATTTTTGAGTGAGCTATAAATTATAGTACAGCCATGGAATAAAGTATCATGCAATCACTGAAAAATTATAGCCTGAAAAATACTTAGAACACTCATTCAAAAAAAAAAAAAAATCAACATTGTCAAAAAGGGCAAAAATGTTTCTTAGGAAATTAAAAAAAAAAAATCTTAAAAATATTTACATTTACTTGCACCCCTCAAGTCATGGTACATTAAGACAGCAGATATGTGATGATGCACTTGCATTAGGTTGAGAGCAACTGGTAAAACCATCCCAAAAGGCTCCTTTGACAGGGCAATGACAGGGGAAAGGCTGAGAAACTTTGGGGTATAAGTAGCGAAATGCTTACAACAGCTCACAGAAGAAAAGGTCACAAAATGAAAAAGTACACACAGTCTAAAACATTCCAAGATACATTTCAAATAGGAACCAAAGTTGTTTTTGGCCATGGTGGTGGTGGTGGGGAGTTAACAGGGTCTGTTTTATTCCAAATACTTTTTTTAATACCAGGTTTTTCATTTTCTAGTCTTCTTTGTAAACACAGTATTACTTCTTAGAATGTACTTTGGTATTTAATGAGTGGTATTTTACACATGAATATGCAGCTTACTTCTCTTCAGGCATTCCCAGGACAGAATAGGAATAGTGGTAGGGCTATTTCTGAGGCAGCTTCAACATGTCTGGTGCAGAGGCTGGGGGGGGGGGGGGGGGGCGTCAGCACACAGCCAGTGAATCATCCTAAGAGCCTGTTCTTACACACATCCCAGCCCTCAACCCCCACCAAGGCCCAGAGCCCTGGTCACAGGAGAAACACCTTCCAATCTCTGAAGCTTGCCTCAGCTCCCCAGGGTCAAGGTCTATGGCCCTCAAGGTTCTAGAGTCACCACCATGCATCAACATCAGCCCATGGCTACTGCTGCCTTCTCTCTGTTCAGAGTCAAGGGCAACACCTTGATGCTGTCACTCAAGGTCCCAATGGAACTCAGCTGTGCCCAGATGCAAGCAAAGCTTTCCAAAGGAATCTGCCATGTGTTACCAGCAGTCACCAAGGTTCCTTGATTTATGCAGTCACACATAATTCTTTTTTTTTTTTTCCACATATCAAAAAAATTTTATTCCAGGTGGCAAGGATTTCCAAGTAGCATTATCTTCAAGAAGACAACTTCTGAGTGAGAGATGGGTCAGTCAAAGGTAGAACATGGCTAAAGAGACTGTGTGTGTAGTACAAGATAACAGGAGATAGACCTACATGCCCTGGTGTAGGACTGCCAAACCTGAACAAAGAAAATAGATTAGACAGTAGGAAATTCAACAAGAAGGTCATCAGTTGCAATACCAGGACTCATTTGGGAAGACGATTACAATTTTGAATTCACAATGGCTTAGTGAGAACCCAACTTTGGTCATTGGGAACCATCTCAACATTATAAAGACAGAACAGGAATGTACCTTAGTATAGAAGCCCTGGATTTATGCCCCAGTACATGAAGAAACTCGGGCATAGATGTTTGGGGTTCAAATGGTAGCATTTACTTCATTGAGAAACTGAGCTAAGTGGCACATAATTCTTTGATGAACACAGAAGATCTGGCTCCTCACTTCCTTCTCTGGTTAAGAGAAATGGCTCCATTAGCCTATTCTTCCAAACAAGTCAAAGCCCAGGCTGCTAACTTCCTTTTTTGGTCAAGATAAACAACTCAATAAGATTAGCTTATTCTTCCAAATATGAGCTGGACTGGAAGTCCAGGTGAGAGGACACATGGGGAGGGCTCAGAAGCCAGGCCAATCACCAGGTTTAACTTCTGACCTTCCAGGCTAAGTAAGGTGGTTAGTAATCACTGGCTTTGGCCAAAGTGTAGTATGCCAGCTGTGGCGCTGTATAATTTTTTTATTGAAAGCCAGATAAGAGTGATGACCAGTTAGGACAAGTAAGTTCTAAGAGAACACTACTTTTCATATTAGGACAATCCACAGTAGTTTCAAGCATCACACACGCTTGTGACCAGGGCCAACTGTGGTGAAACTAGAACTCAGTAAGAACTATAAAAATACATTAGGCCTAAAGGGAACCCCAGGGCTGAGAGACTAACTCACATGGCACTGTGTAGTTGTCTTGTCCTCAAGGACAGATATGGGTAGGTGAGAAGTCACATGCACACTTCATGCATTAAAGTGCTTCTATTAGTACTATTCACTATTTATGTAGAGAAATTAATCAATTATCAAACCTACAGAAATTATACCCATTCTGCTGTGTTTCTTCTGTCTTATAAGAGGTCAGTAAAACCTGGCATTTATCTTGTAGACAGGTATTTCCCACTGACCCTAAGCTAAACAGATGCCAAGTGCCCCAGGTCAACATACGACACCATGTCACAGCACCTTCAGAGATAATCTTGGGCAATCTCATAATTTTTTAAAATGACCAAACATTTGAGACCTAGAAGTGATTTGTGCACACAACAGCCAGAACCAGGGTAAGAAGCCAGATTCACTGGGCCAAGTGAGTTAGAAAGGGCATCAAACAGCTGACAAAATTCAGCTGCAAAAAAGGAGGAAAAAATCCATGTAACCCAAAACCAAAATTATAGTTACATAACTAGTATTAGCTTCAAAATAAAGAACAAAAAGCAAACAAACAAACAAACACTTTACCTATAAACATAAAATGGTTCAAGCTTCTAGTTGTTTAAGGCCTAAAATTTTTACAAAGAGTCACATAAAAACTTTTAGAAAAAATTATATTTTTACAAAAAAATTACATTTGCCCCTGGACATAATACTCATAATTCGCTTTCAAAACAAACTCAAAATATGGGTTGGACTTGAGGTTTCCCAGCTGATCAGCTTGTAGCAGGTCATTCACTTCTGGCAAGTAGTCACTGAGCTGAATGCCTGCAAATATAAACACAGGTGTTTTTATTTTTGCAAAACTGTTGAGTGAGTAAAATGACCACTGAGAAGGCGCCTGCGCTCCTACGCAGGGCCTCACGCATGCCGCCCCTGCGTCTGCTCTCAAGTCTAGACAAGCCTCTGCTGGAGGCCCTTCCCTCTGCCCACAGCCACTCATGTAAAGGCTTCAGTAGGATCTGAAGAGCTTCATTTTCTCCTATAGTTAAGACCAACCTTCAATGTAAAAGTTTTAAACTAAGTCACTTAAAAGGAAGTATTCTGAGTAATTATATATTCCTCAATTCAGGCAAGAATTTAGAAGAAACGCTGTCTGAAGAGCCAGCTCCAGTATCTCAGCTGGAGTCAACAGGGCAGGTAGCCACCTACACCGCTGAAAAGCCAAAGAACATCAGCTGAATGGGCTGTTTTAAGTTGAGGGCTACGAAATTAACAAAAGTATGCACTATTTTGTAGTTTAAAAAAATGGGATGAAATTTTAAATAAGTAAGATAATTTGTTACATTATCAGGTTCTCAAAACCAAACACTAGTTCTTAAAAAAATACCCTTGAGAGTCAGGGAGCTAGCTCAGTGGTGTACGTGCCTGCCTGGCAAGCAGGTCCTGAGTTCAATCCCCAGTACCCCCCCACCCCCCCCACAAAAAACCTTGAAGTGTCTAAGGGCATTTTTGTACTTGTTATGTAATAAAAAAGTTGTGTTAGGGCCAGCTAGATAGCTCAGCGGATTAAAGTGCCTGCTTAGGCAGACACAGGGGTCGGAGGTTCGATCCCTAGCCTGCCATGCTGGCTCTGTCCCCAGGGCACACTAAGCTGGCAACTGAGACTGGGCAATTGAGACTGGGTGTGGTGGTACACATCTGTAATCCCAGCACTTGGGAAGCCGAAAACAGGAGGATCAGTATGAGTCCAATCTGTGTAGTGAGACCCTATACTAAATACATAAAATAAATAAATACTTGTGTTAAAGTTATGAGGCTAACTAAATCCGAGTCATTTGCATATCATTTATTACAATTAATATAATTTTAAGAAAGACCTTTTCTTTGTAAAATTATATTACATTGTAAAGCTATACTGAGGTTTTTTAATATTTAATATTTTTGTTTTTTGAAGACAGGTATCATTATGTAGACTAGCCTTGAAAACACTTATGCAGCTCAGGCTGGCCTCAAGCTCACACTAATACTCCTGCCTCAGCCTCCTGAGTGCTGGGATTACAGACAGGCACTATGGCCAGGATCTGCACACAATTCTACACACTCAAACAACAAATGTTTATAGCAACTACTGTATGCCAGACAGTGGGGCAGGAGTGTTTTATGTAGAACAAATAATGTATCCTGCAAGAAGTGAGGAGATGGCTCAGCAGTCTAAGCACCTGTCTGGCAAGTACAAGGATCCGGGTTCAATCCCTGGTACTGGACTCCGTGCTGGCCCCATGGTGGCACATGCATGTAGTCCCAGCACTGCGGAGGCTGAGACAGGAATATCACTAAGAGTCTGAACTATTTAGTGAGACTTTGTATCAAATAAATAAATAAAATATTTAAAAAAAAATAATGTATCCTGCAGACATGTGAAGGAAGCATGTGAAGTGTAGATGCTGCCCTGATGGGTATCACTCTTGTTCACTCAGAAGGGCTGCTGGACCAACAGCAGCTTTTGTCCTGTGTATTTGTTGCAAAATGGATGAAGAAGCGCATCCCGGCATTTGGAAAGATGGGTCTGCTCCAGGTTAGCCTACTTTACACACTGCATGGATTTTGGCAACCCACATTTTAGTAATTCTACAATACTTATTTTCATGTATAAAATGTGCCAAGTCTCTCATGTCTTGTCCAGCATTCTCCACATTTTAAATTCTTGGTTTTTTATAGACAGTCACTCTGCCTTCTCATTTACCTTTCCCTGGACAATAAGTACTATACTCAAAGCAGCTTCTTCACTTACACCTTGTCTTCATCAGTAAGGGGAATTCTGATCATTACCTTAAATACAAAACCCATAAAATACAGCCCCTTCTTGAGTCTTGTCTCTAAATTGAGATTTAGAGTCTTAATGTCTAAATGGATTTATGCAAACATCTACATTTGCTAAGTGTTGTATGGTCAGTTTAGAAGTGAATATACTGGGGCTGGGCAGCACATCTCCCTGATAAGCACAAGGCTCTGTGTTTGATTTGCAGTACCAAAGCAAAACAAAATAAAACAAAACAACACAACACAACAGTAACAAAAAAAAGAGTGCCTACCAGGGAATATACCAAAAAATGCTTATACCTCATTTCAAGTTTTCAGTCTTCATAAGAGTTGACTGAAAAGTCAAAGAAAATGACTACTTTCATCAGTACAGACTCTTGGCATCACACCTGTACCTGGACGCCCAGAGAACCCACAAGTGTGTGCATGGATAACTTTACTCTGACATGTGCTCTTCCAAGTGCAGAGAACAGAGATAAGCCTTTCTTTCATTGGAAACAAATCTCTAATTTTGAGTAGGAGACTGCTTCATCTTAAACTTCATCATTTGTTATCTTGACAAATATACATTATTTTAAGATTTCTAAAATTCAGAAAATTATAATTTCTCATAGTAACAATCCACTTACCATCTTTTAAAAGTTTCTGTAAGATTTTCACAAATATACTGCCTTTTGACTCTTCAATGGGATCACCTTTACCATCTGAGCTAGACCAGCTGGAAAAAACAAAACAACAAAAAAAGCCCACCATGAGGGTAATGAAGTCATGGACTTAGCTGAGATAAATGACTTTTGTTGATACTGGGGCTTTGTCTGGGTTCAGTCTCTGAATAAAGAACTCTGAAAGCTGGAAACACTCCGATTTCTGTACAGATGCAAATCACACTCTGACAGCTATTCACCAACATCTCCGCTGTGCATCAGATTTTGTGTATTCAGTGTACATAAGACACAAAACACCCAAAAACTGCCATACAAGAAGCCAGCGTGAGGCTCGCAAGCCAGAATAACCAGAACAGGATCAACAAACCAAAGGTGCCCAGAGCAGGATCTTGGGAGAGGGATGCAGAGGTCAGGCTCCCAACAGGAGACCAAGCACTTTGGTAAAAGGAGCCCTCAGTACGAGACTCACTCCTGTCACTTCTTAGGCACCAATCCCTACCAAAGGGCAGTCCTGGGTCCTTTGCTACAGAATACACATAAGAAATGTTCCTGTTATATAAAGTAAAGCCATATTAATAATGATGAGCTGTAAAAGGCTCAAGTCAATAACTTCTGAGGATAATCCACTAATATTTTAGACTGCTAGACAGTGTTGGATTGTTTAGCTGAATTCAAACACCTATTTAGATGCCAACAGAATACCTACCTCTGACAGGACTAAACAAAAAAAAGGGGATACAAAGGAAAGATCATTTTGTATTTATATATAAAAAATAGGATAAATATACAGCTACTTTTGCTTAATTCTATAAGAAGAAAGAGGTGTACTAATAGTGTTTGGACAGTATATCCTGTCTGTTTCTTGTACTATGGATAACTACTAACAATGTACAATGTACTGATTATTGAAACTGTCCTATTAATCAGCTATGAAACTGTATCATTCATATTTCTCAATAAAATTAAAATTAATTAAGGTGGTGCATGCCTGTAACTGCCACTTAGGAGGCTGAGGCAGGGGATCACCTTGAGTTCAAGGCCAGCTGGGCTATATACTAAGTTCAAAGCCAGCCTGAACTATGTGTTGAGACCTTGCCACAAAACAAAACAACTCAAGGCACTGACCCTTAAGATGCAATCATTTTTTATTAAAAAAACAAAACATAGCTTTGAGTCTTGTTTGGCACAACAGATTCAACTTCTGTGAATATAAGGATGGTATAATTTCTGTGTAAACAGACAGTCTAAATGCTAATACAAAAAGCAGTGACTTAGCTGGGCATGGTGACTCACACCTGTAAACCCAGATACTTGAGAGGCTGAGGCAGGAGGACTACAAGTTCAAGGCTAGTCCGGGCATCTTAGAAAGACTGTCTCAAGAAACAGGGGCTAGAGTTGTAGCTTAGCCCTCCCTGGGTCCAAGCTTCAGTAATGCCAAAAGAAAACCAAATAAAACCACAGCAAAAACGAAAACAAACCCAGACTGACTTTATTATAACAGGGCTCTAAATCTTTAGGCTATCCTTTATTCTGAATTTAAGATGTCAGATTACCAGTGTAACTGCTAACAAGCTCACAACGTGCTGTCATTACGTGCAGCCAGAAGCTCACGTAACTGTCTGGTTTGTGGTATCACGGCTGCCTCACACCACATGAGCCAGGACCAGGTCAGCTGGGACTTACTTGTCTCTCTGCAGAGCTCGGCAAAGGATCTCCAGTTTGAGGTCATTTATATTCACATCTTCTTCCTTCACAGTAGAATAAAAAATCTTGATTAAATCTTAGCTTCAGAAGAGAAATACATGTTTAAAATTTATTTATGTCAACTCCTAATCTTACATAAACACTGTTGCTTTGTTTAATTCATAACTAAAAAATTTCCAATTTTTTCAACTTTTTTTTCCTTTCCTTTTTTTTGCTGCCAAGGATTGAACTCAGTACATTGTGCTTACCAGGCAGGCACTTATGCTGCTAAGTTATCTCTGCAGTCTGTTCTTTAAATTGTCAGTACCAGTATCACTTAGAAAAATAAACAAATCATTATCTATGTAAATTAGGTTCTGATAAAGTATTCACTGACATTCTGATTTCATCAAGAACTTTGAAAGAGAGAGAAAAAAAAATTTTGAGAGACTAAAATTTTTAAGCAAGGCTATATAAGAAAAGTATTGTTTTCATCATCTTTCAAATAACTTTCGATTGTATGGTCAAGTAACAAAACAACTACTTATCCAACAGAATTCCTACTACAATTTTTTAAAATTAAAGAACCAACTTTTCTTAGGGTAATTGCTATGAGAAAAAACGCCTCAGAACTTTTAAGAGCTACTTTTTGGGTGGGGGTAAGGTACAGTTTGGAAATTGAACTGAGGACCTTGCACACGCTTCATGAGCACTCTACCACTGACCTACACGCCAGACCCCACAATCTTACTTGGGCACAGAAAAAGGCACCTGGGAACGTGTGAAGATTATCAGGAATTAGAATTTCCCAGCAGTTTTTTTAAAGGGCTGGATGCCTTCTAAGAGACAAGAGTAACTGAACTAGAAATTAGTCTTTTTTCATGAGCACTGTCATGACTGACTAAAAGAAGTATTTTCTATTCATACTTATTCAGTTACCTGAGATCACCAAGGGAATTTACTTACCTCGTCAATATATTCCAACAAGTCCAAAGCTTTCTTAAAATCATATTCATTAGCTCTTCTGTTTTCATCACAGATGTATAGCTGTGGCGAATCACAGTAAGGAAAAGAATTATTCAGAATTTAGAACTAATAACAGAACACTAGAGAAATTTATTGATAAGTAGTCTTTTTATTAAGCTGGGGGTATCTTTATAGCCAAGAATAATGTCACATTTGTGAACTACATTTTATCTACTTCATAATGAAGTGTCTTTTAAAAATATGTATATCCTATGGGCTGGAGAGATGGCTCAGTGGTCTAAAGCACCTACTTGGAACAAGCTTGGCAAAGCACAGGAACCACGGTTCAA